CCATCCACCGATTAAACATCCACCTACAATTGAAAAACGTGTCTCTATCATTCCTACACACTTTACACCCTCACTGTAGATGCGTGTCGCGCGAAGTTTGACGCGGTCACGGCTCTTGAAAATATCGTTCGCCGCGGTTCTCTCTCTTATATCCCACGCGTCATCGACGAGGAACAATGCCGTGTACGTTCGCCAACTTCAAAGAGGGGAAAAAAAAAGAAGAAAAATAGGAGAGAAGGAAAGGTAGAGGAGAGAGAGAGAGAGAGAGAGAGAAAGGAGAAAGAGTTGGAAACTTCCGGCTGGTAAGTTCCACGTAGTACGAACAATGAAAGTTTCGATCCGCGAGACGCTGAAAAATGCAGCAGCAGCGGCGAGGCAACGGAGAGAGACCCGAGGCTTCCTTAATTTCGTATTCGCGGTGGCTACACGTTGTGCACGGGTGTCATTACGTGTCTGCCAATAGCCACGTTGTCGTAAATCACTTATGGCTTTTGTGTATCGCGTGCAAAGCCAAGGAAGCAGCTGCACGAATTCCCAGGCTCTCTTTTTCCGATGCTGCTGCTGTTGCTGCTGCTGCTGTCGGCTACGTGTGCAACTTCGAGACAAAAGGAGAACCGAGAGTGAGAGAGGAGGCTGAAAGGGCTGATGAGCAGGTGCCGCTCGGCTTCAATCGTTTTACGACTCTTGCCCTTTTTTTTTCTCTCCTCCTCCTCCTCATCCTCCTTTTTCTCCTTTTTTTCACCCTCTCTCTCTCGCTCTCTCTCTCTATCTTCTTTTTTCTTTTGCTGTCGTTACGCGATTTAATAAACTTATTCGGACCGGAAGGCCTTTTTCGGATTAGCTCCGGCCGCCAGTCTTTTTTAATATTAATTCCCTTGATTCTCTGGCAGAGAAGAGAGAGAGAGAGAGAAGGAAGGGAACTGTAATAAGGTGACTTGCAAAAGGTACAACACCTCCTCGTCGAAAACCGAAACTCCTCTCTGAACGATTGTTTTTACGTTCCAGTTTTACAGTTGAATTTTATTCTTGTTAACGTGAGCCATTGTAACGTCATTGTTGCTCGAGGATCGATTTAATCTAGTTTTAATGCAATTTCCAACTTTTTGTCGCTGGTAATTTAATAAAATTTAACGACGCAGTTTTGTTCGCTTTTAATTGTTCTAATTATACTAGAACCACGTTTCCTTCTTTCTCGTAGGGGAATGTAATAACGAAAAATATCGAATGAAAGGCTTAATTGTTATTTCGAATTGTAGGTGTAATTGGGTATTTTTGCTCGTTGAAACGATTGCGGTAGGACGTGTCGAAAACAGAGAATTATATGTACGTAATTAGACTACAAAGATGTTTCACACTTACGCATGGCATTGGTTCTGCAAGAAGTTGAATTCTTCTTTGATCCTATCGCAGGATTCTCCGACTGTGAATTTAATTTGCTGCCCGGGTTGCGGTGGACCCTGCAATAAATTTACAACGAGAACATTAATAACCGAGTAGCTAAATTAACGATCTTGTTACTTCTTCATTGTCTTAAATTTTTTTCCCCCGGAGCAAGTACTCGCCAGATATTCATCGAGTAAGTACTCGGGAGATACGGGTGAGTAATTGACTCTGTGCTCCGAAATATGTTAATTCAGTTTGTGGGGCGAAGCTCGCCACACTTATCGCGGGCTTCCTTACGAACTAATTAGGCAGAATTTTTCACTCCTTCAAATTGATATCGTTTAACTCGGAAAAAAAAGTACAATTAACGATTTCTTTCAATTTTCAACACTTCCTTCTACAATGATTTGTTAAAAATGAAAGTACCATTTTTGCAGCGAAATTAAGTTTCTGAGAAATTTTCAAAAATAATAAATTGCACTTTTAAATTTACAAAAAAAAAAAAGGACAAATTAACTATTTTATTCTTGACAATTTTTAACACTTTATTCTCGAGTTGTTTGTTGAAAATAATAAAAATGAGAAAGAAATTAGTATGAGTCTCTTTTCTGGAGCTAAATTAGGTTTCTAAAAAGTTCGAAAAAGTAGTGTGTATTGCACTTTGAAATTTTTCACAACGAACGACAAAGGTAACCTCAATTTGTGTGAAACAAAATACCATTATTTTAAATGGCTATTATTATAGAAGCGAAATGGCAGAAAAAATACGTATCAGATTTCACAGTAATAAACTACGGCTTAGTCCATGAAAGCGGCGCAATATAGCGGTTAGAATATCTAACTACATCGTGTGTGGTATCGCATTATAACGCAACAGCACGTAAAACACACAGAAACTTTGCAGTCTAAACTTTGTTCTATTAATCGTTGCCCATGTTATGCGAAAACCACCGACAGAAGATTGCATATCATTATCTTTTTAGTCGATACGCGGCTATTATGCCGATGAGAACTAAAAATCCTCACATCCGTTTTAGCTGTTTTCTGTACAGGTTTCACGAGCGCCAATAACGGCTCTCTCTCGATCGTACCTGTATCGTAAAATCATATATTCTCTTTTTAATCACCGACATTATTCGCTTATGTCAATGTATTCATAATTTCACACTAGACGACACTGTTCTTTTTCTATTCCATACCTCTAGTGTTACAATTTACTTTATGCCAAGATAGCGATAGAATTATATACCTACACTCTCAGGTTAGGTCGAATTATGAAAGTTGAAATCTAGCGAAGAAATTACGTGGCACGGTAATATTGTAAACGTAGATCCAAGTAAAAAATTTTCAATAAATATTACACGTTCTAATAATAAAAAAGGGAAAAATATAAAAGTTAACACTGCATTTACGATACGATAAAATCATCAAGATTGTGTTGACACAAGAGTGACAGTAACTATTACTACTATTATGAAATATTTATTGCTAATGTGATTAACGTAAGAAGTTACAAGAGCCATGAAAACTTAATATAGTACAGCGTAGATAATCACACGTGGTGCAACTATAACAATAATTAACCGTCGGATGATTTATGTCCCCCGTACAACCTATCCGCTCGATCATTCTCACATTCCCTATCAATATTCTGAATACAAATTGAACTTCAAATTTTCCGATACTTTGCATAACGTCATTAATACACGTCGCACAGGTGCAACAACGCTGAAACACCTTCGCGGTAACATTTTTCCAAGCCACAATGACCTGTTTGTTAAACCTATACACTTGCCGTCAACCTTCGCAACAAACGTGTTAAACCAACGCGAAATTTTCCAGCTTAAAATACCACGGCAACAAAAGCGCCACATTTCCATCCAGCAGGCCGCACGTACGAGCCCTCATTAAACCCCATTAACATTCATTATGGTCCCAATTCTTCTCCGAACTCCGGCGCTTGCGCACAAGCCATAATCGTGCTTCGCGGAAGAATTCTTGTAGCTCGAAATGGGGATAGAAGGAAAAAAAAAAGGAAGAAGGGGGAGAAATCGAAAAAGAAGAATAAACCGACGAAGATGCAAAAGAGACAAGAGAAGAAGAAGAAAGAGAGAGGAAAGGGAAGGGAGAGAACGGCAAACGGAAGCCGAGTGGTGCGCGCGATGTGAATACACGTCAATGCCATCGGTGAATAATTAATTTCACACAGCTGTTCACCGTGAAAGAGCGGAATGGATGCAGGAAGTAATGCGTTAGCTGATTCGCGGCTTCGCGAAGAAAAGGGGGGAATCAGACAGGCGTAGCGAAGAGGCGAGGCGGTGGAGCGCACCGCTGCGCTCTGGCTACACGGTAAACAGTAAAAGACATCTAAACGCCATCGGCAATCGTGCACGCGTGGATGAGCACACAATGTTGTAACGTAACGCAACGCGATAACAAGATTGCCATCAGGTGGATCTCCTCCCCTTTCTCCACAGGCCCCTAAGGACTATGCCTGAAATGCGGCGCCGCCATGTTGGATGTCCTCGTGTCTTTCGCGCGAGATATTTTTGGGGAAATTTATTTATCGTAAAAAGTGATTCGTAAGAATTTAAAATACACAGGATGTTCGATATTGGAATGACGAATTCGAAAAATTTTAATAACCTGCTTCATTCGTGATTCCAGAAGAAGTTTTATGAAATGCGGCGCCGCCATGTTGGATGTCCTCGTGTCTTTCGCGCGAGATATTTTTGGGGAAATTTATTTATCGTAAAAAGTGATTCGTAAGAATTTAAAATACACAGGATGTTCGATATTGGAATGACGAATTCGAAAAATTTTAATAACCTGCATCATTCGTGATTCGAAAAGAAATGCGGCGCCGCCATATTGGAAATACTTTTGTCTTTCGCGCGAGATTTTTTTGGGGAAATTTGTTTTCCGTAAAAAGTGATATATAGGGATTTGAAGTACGCAGGATGTTTAATATTATAATAAAAAATTCGTAAGTTTTGTTAACCTCCTTTATTTGTGATTTGAAAAGAACCTTTACGAAATGCAGCGCCGCCATATTGGTATTCCCCACGTTTCACTCCTTTCACGCGAAATCTTCAGGAAAATTGATCTATGGTAAAAAGTGACGTACACGGGTCTAAAGTACACAGGATATTCAATATTATAACGAAGAATTCGTAAATTTTAATAACCTCTTTTATTCACGGTTGGAGAAGAACTTTCACGAAATGCGGCGCCGCCATATTGGTATCCTCGTGTACTTCGCTCGCGATCTTTTTGGGAAACTTAATCTATCGTGAATGGTGATATATAGGTATCTAAAGTATCACAGTATGTTAAATCTTGGAATGAAGATTTTTTCCTTTTCACGAAACGCTCCAACATTCTCGAGCGAATTTTCATCGCGCGAGAAATACGGTGAAAACATAGAACACGATTCGGAGATAGTGTCACATATCGAATCCGTGGCAACGCGGATGCGATTTCGAGCGTTATTGAGGATTTCGCAGAACGTTCGAGATAATATGAATAGAGAAACGCGCATTATGTCTGCATGGGGAATATAGAGCCGTTCGATCAATGGAGGTTAGATGGATGGTTTGGAACGGTCGAGTTTCACGCATCGACGGAGTCTGCAAATCACAGGTTTTAAGTTTCCAACCGATATACGTGTATACATAGCACCGTCATTTTTGAAACCTTTCAGAATTTTGTTGTTCGAGAACTACATTTCCCCCGAGTGCTTGTTTAGAAGGTAGATTAAACCACTTTAACCTCCTCTTTTCTTCAATTTTAAACCTGTTACGAGTCAACCTCAGATCGAATGACAGTGAGTAAAGCACGCTATTACGCGTGTGCTTGTTTAATCAATTACTAGGTATAATTTCCTCGACAAAGAATAGAAACAGGCTACCTACTTCAAAAAAAAAAAAAAGAAAAAGAAAAGAATCTCGCAACTGATAGAACAAATAACCTCCTCCTTGCGATACTACAAGAAACTCAACGAAAAGTAAACAATTTTATTCAACGTTAGAAAATATTGATTACCTAAACACATATTTCCCGATAAGTTCGAAAAAGAATTAAAAGAAAAAAACACTGAAAAAAGAAAAAAGAAGAAATTCCATGAAAATCAACGTCTGGAATGCAAAGCGGCAAAATATTTGCGCCAGCACTCGAGACACCCCGTGTATAACTGGGGTCTTATTCGTTACATCGCTCAGCATGCGCACACGATTACACGGGGCGGCAGAGTCGAGGCCAGGTATAGTCAACATGATCTCGACTGACTGCAACGGCTCGTAGAGAGAGAGCAAGTGTTAATTACATGTTTGCGGTGTCCGCGAGGATTACACGCTACAACCGAAACTATGAACTTGTGAGGCAGCGCACACGTGTACGTGTGCGTGCAAGTGCACGTGGGTGCCCATCGGCGTGCACGTGTGAACCCTGTGAGAGAGGGTGTTCTGTTAACTACATTCGCGGTGCCCTGCCTACGCAAGCGTCGTCCTTCGGTCGACCTGTAGATCGTGTCGGATACGCTCCCCAACAACCAGAGTCACGTTAGCCGACCAGTATCTCTGTTGAACTCGTGAAAATCGATCGACGAGACAGCACCGTGTCGAAAAGACGGTTCTGGGCTAGATGTACGCGTTAAATACCGTACAATGTAGATAATCCTTCAATTCTTCGGCATTTTTCGCAACATGTTAGGTTACATTTTCGTAACAGGTGTTACTGATAGTTCAAATTGAAAAAAAATTAATTATTCGATGGATAAAATGTTTTTTTCGCTCAATGATTGTATAAAAAGTTTGATCAAAAATTCGCGTAAATTGTTGATAATCTTTCGTGATAGGTTAGGTCACGTTTCTACCACGGGTGTTCCTAAAAGTTCAAATAGCAACAAAGGGCTATCTCGTGGGCTAAAATGTTCCTTCGTTCGATTGATTCTATAAAAAGTTTGATCAAAAATTTACGTAAATTGTTGATAATCTTTCGCGATAGGTTAGGTTATGTTTTTGCAACCTAACAGTTTCTAAAAGTGCAAATTGCAACAATGGATTATTTGATGCGT